GATGGCAACACAGAGGTGTCTTGTAGAATCCAAGATGAGAAACATAGCTCAGCTCCAGGCAGAACCAGTCTCAAAAATTTTTTTAGCTGCTTCTCTCCCAAAGCTTTTTCATTCATCTTACTGACTGGCTGCTCCGCTTCTCAATGAAGAGAATGGTCTCCCATAGCTCCAGCTTTGAAGCCGTGTCCCAGCCACATGGCTAAGTCTGTCTATCTCAGTTGCAAATTTTTCCAGACTTTGCCTTCACTTAGGCTGGATGTCTGTTTATTCCTGAGCCAGTCAACTGTAGCTAGGGGTAGGTATATATATATATATATTTTAGGGGGGGAGGTTTTTTTGCTATAGGGCACATGCACTCGCCAGAAAGATAGAGACAGAGAGACAGAAAGTGAGAAATCCCCCCCCGGGAGGATGGCCATGCCACAATCCCTTCTCCTCCCTTCTCTTCTCGGGATTTTGGGCAGGCACAAGCGCCCAGTGTGAGTTTAAGCCCCTGGGTCCGAGACTTGAACCACGGTTGACTACATGGGAGTCCAGCGACATAGCCATTATGTTAACTGCTGGTCCCCTATAATATTTCTTACATAATTCTATCTTTAATAGCTAGAAGACAGGTTCTAGCAGCTGTGTCCAGTAGAAATACAAGGTGAGAGCCAGCTGTGGTGGTACACAAATAGTGCCACTGCCTGAGAGACCCAGTTTTGGTTACTGGGTCAACCTGAATATGCTGGGCATGATTGCATGCAGCTGTAATCCTAGCTAATTGGGAGGCTGGGGCAGAAGAATTACAACACGTGAGACCCTGTCAAAAATACCTCTCTCTTCCTCTGTCACATAAAGAGAACAAAAAATGAAAAGAAATAGGAAGTGAGCCACATATGCAATTTTTCCTAGTAGCCATATCAAAAAAGTAAAATATGAGCTAGCCTCATAACCTAGTGATTAGGGAGCTGATTCACAGCTTGAATCCTGGCCCTGGCAGCTTGAAAAATGTGCTATGTATGTGCATGCCTGAGGTCCCAACAGGATGGAGAAATGGAAGAGAGGGGGTTGCACTATGACCAAGTCTCATTGGACGTTGCTTTCTCTCTCTGTTGCCTCTCTCTGGCAAGTGCATACATCCTCTGGCAATAATAAAAAAAATAGTAAAACAAAAGAAAAAAAGAAAAAATTTTAAAATTAAAATGAATTTTAATAATGTATTTTATTTAACCCAATATATTCCAATATTATAATTTCACGAATAAAAAAGTAATAATGAGTTATTTTCCATTCTTTTAAAATCTTTGAAATCTGGTGTGTATTATTTTATGTTCCAGTACCTTTCAGTTTGGAGTAGCCATATTTCAAATTTGGCTAGTGGTTGGTTTTATACTGGAAAGTTCTAGAACTGTCTGAGAGCAATTAGAGTTTTTCTAAAAGCTTCTTGTCAAAATCCTGAATACTTATAGATGGTTCTTTTTTATTTTTGGAGAGAGAAGTTTTTGCTATAGGGCACGTGCGCTCGCCAGAAAGACAGGGAGACAGAAAGCAAGAAATCATCCCCCAGGGGGATGGCCATGCCGCAGTCCCTTCTCCTCCATTCTCCTCTCAGGATCTTGGGCATGCACGCATATGGGCCCAGTATGAGTTTAAGCCACCGGGTCCAGGACTTGAACCACATTAGACTACATGGGAGTCCAGTGACATAGCCTTTATGCCATCTGCTGGTCCCTGGATGGTTCTTTTTAAAAGTGCATTTCTTTCCTTTTTTAAAAAAGCATTATTTTAATTCATTGTTGTTATTTAAAAATTTTTTTTGAAGTTGACCAGAGAAAGACAGAGAGAAGGAAAGTGAGAAGCCAGGACTCGAACCACAGTTAGCCATGTGGGAGTCCAGCTCCCTTAACCATCACACCACCTCCTGGCCCCTAAAAGTGCATTTCACCCACAACAGCAGAGGGCCTTGGGTGACAGCAGCTTTAAAATCAGCCACAGAGGAGTTGCCCACTTGGAGGATTCGCTGAACTTAGTGTTGGCAGAGAAGAACACCTGCTTTTTAACCAGGTCACGAGGCTCTCGACCTAGTTCTTGTTCTTTTCAGACCTCTGATTCCTGGAATAATACTTCAACTCTTTGGAAACCTCAGTTTGTTTATCTATAAAAATTAGGGTTTATAATGGTCTTGCTCATTAGAAGAGTGTTTCATTGGATTTAAATACACTAATACATTTGAAAGTACTTTGAAAGACATTTATTGGGATATTTAAATGTAAGGCATTATTGTTATTTATTAACTGGAAAAAAATTCTGCATTTTGCCATCAGTAATAGCTATTATTTATTGAGGGTGTAGTGCCAGGCACCGTTCTGCTTTACACATATTATATAATTTAACTGTAATCTTAGGAAGATACTTTTATTTTTGTATCTGATGAGGAAACTTAAGACATGAAGAGTGAAGTAACTAGCCCAAGATCATATAGTTGAATTGGCAAGTAGTTGAATTTTGGAGTTGGAATGTACTCTTTAAAACAATTACGGTGGAGCCGGCGGGTGGCATGGTGGTTGAGGTGTTGGACTTCCCACATGGCCGACCATGGTTCATGTCCTGGACCTGGCAGCTTGCTTTCTCACTCTCTCTCTCTTGTGAACTCATGTGAAAGAATGATAATGATAATAAATAAAATAAATAATTAAAAATTACGGTGAAATATGCACAACATAAACATTATCATTTGAGGTAGTTAGGTCTCCTGTTCTGTGCATTAAGTACTTACACATTGTTTTGCAGCGATTATCACCATCCATCTCCAACTATCATCACCATTTCATCTTCTCCAACTGAAATTCTGTGCCTACTGAACACTAAGTCCCTACTTCCCTATCCCCATTCCCTTGCAAGCAACTACCATCTGTTGGGTCATTGGAAAAGTCATGATGTCGTTTATGTTTTTCTATGCAAATATGTGTCATTACTTTTCTGATGACCCAATACTTTCTGTCTATGAGTTTGGCTACTCTAAGTACTACATATAGAAAGAATCATTGCTATTTATCTTTTTTTTTAACTGGCTTATTTCCCTCAGTGTAATGCTTCACATATACCATGTGTCAGAATTTCTTTTTTTAAAGCTAAATAATATTCCATTGTGCGTGTGTATGTGCCACATTGGTTGATTCATCCATCTTTTGGTTGCTTCTACTTTTGGCTATTGTGAATAATGCTGCTATGCACATGAGCATACAAGTATTTCTTTAAGACTCTTTGTTTTCCAGTGGAAATCACTAGATCATGTGGCCATTCTATGTTTAATTTTTTTTACCTGCCATATTTTTTTCCACAGTGACGGTACCATGTTGCATGCCCATTAACAATGATCAAGGGTTCCAATTTCTCCACATCCTCCCCAACATTTGTTGTTTTCTCTCTCTCTCTCTCTGTGTGTGTGTGTGTGTGTGTGTATGTGTTTATAATAGCAATCCTAGCTAGTGTGTATAAAGATCATAGACATCCAATGGGTGTCATTGTGGTTTTAATTTGTGTTTCTTTGATGACTAGTGATGTACAGCTTTGTTTCATGTGCTTCTCCTTTTTTTTGGAGAAATGGTTATTTAAGTCCTTTGCCCATTAACGATTTAAGTCCTTTGCCCCTTAGCAATTTTTTTTTTTTTTGAGAGAGAGAGAGAAAGAGTCAAGCACCCTCAAGAGGATCTCATGCCAAGATTGCCCCCTATCCTCCAGCCTTTTCCAGGTAGCCAAAATCATGGGCATGCATTTGTATGACTGGCATGTACAGGTTGACCTGGGAACTGAACCTTGCCCTTCCATGTGACTTTCAGCATCTCAGAGTATTTTGTTACCGCTGTACCACTGCATGTGGGCCTGCTTGATTTTTTTTTGTTGTTGTTGCTAAATTGCAGGATATTTAAAGTATATTCTGGATAATAGTTCCTTATTACATATATATGATTTGTAACTATTTTCTCCCATTCCATGGGTTGACTTTCATTTTGTTTATTTGATACATAGTTTTTGGATTTTGTTTGTGTGGGTGTGCTTTAATATATTGAGAGAGAGAGAAAGAGACAGAAAGAGAGAGAGAGAGGGGGACCCACCCTATGGAGTATGGTCACACCACAAACTCTTCTCCTCCATTTCTATCTTCTGTCAGGATTTTGAGGAAACATGCACACATGCCTGGCTTATTTATCAAGTTGCTGGGACTGGGATTCAAACTATGGCTGGCCGTGTGGAATCTGATCCCCACGTGGCTAATTTGACTGGCCACATGTACAGAAGCTTTTAATTTTGATGAATTCCAAAGATACTTGCTTTTCCTTTTTATACTTATGCTTTTGGTGTCATATCCAAAACATTATTGCTGGCCTAAGTGTCATAAAGTTTTCCCCTATGTTTTCTCCTTAGAGATTTTTTGTCTGTCCCTGTTTGTCTCCTATCTCTGTTTCACTTTGTATCTATCTGTGTGTATATGTTTGTATTTGTTTGTATATTTAAAAATATATTTGTAAATCATTGAGAGATATGTATGTGCCTTTCCTTGTTTCTTTCTTCTTTTTAAATTTTCTTTTTGTTGAACTGTTTGAAAGTATAGCAGACATCATGACACTATGTATCTCTTACAAAGGCATTAAAAAAACCCCCTGTATTCCCATTATCATTACTGGTTTAGAAATGAACATATGGAACATTTGCTTTGTGTTCTCTGATTTGGAATGCTTTTCTTCAGTTTTTTTTAGGTCTGCTCTCCTCCCCAATGCCTGAAAGTCAGGGTACTTTAAGCTTTTCTCTTTTAGGAATCTCACATTAAGAATTATAATACATTTCCTAATTTTATTGAAAATTAAGCTTTTATTATATTTTGCTCATTTTAGTGTTTAACTTGTATAGCGTATTTGTCAATGAAATTTTCTTCTTTTTTTATATGTTCATTTAACCAGTTAGTGTGTATGTATTTGGTATTGTTGTTAGTAGTTATCTTTCTTCTTTTGTTTCTCCAGTACCGACTTGAAGCTTCTGGAGGAGGCAACCATTTCAGTCTGCAAATCTTTAGGTAAGGGGGAAAATTTGTGTGTACGTGTGTGTAGGGGATATTTTTTCAAATTTTTTGTTATAAATTTTGTTTCATGTTATTTATATGTTTATTTGCAATAGCACTCTGCTTGCTGGAGAAAGAGCAAGAGCAAGCATGAAAGGGAAAGTGAGAAAGCACCCCCCCAGTGGGATGACCACACCACAATCCCTTCTCCATTTTCTTCTCAGTATTTTGGGCATGTGCACAGAAGCCACTGGGTCTAGAACTTCAACCACACAATTCGCCATGTGGAATCCGACTGTCTTAACCACCATGCCACTGACTGGCCCAAAATTTTGGTAATATAATACAAATAGAGTTAATGAAATATTTTTTTCTTGATGATAACAGCCCTTTGGTATATAAATAGAACTCTTGAGGAGCCAGGTACACTTTTTCCTCCTTGTCTTGGTCTTTTAAATTCTAACTTGGCTTCTCCAAGTGCTGGGATCTTATTCTTTTTTGAGAGGTATAAATACTTAAGAAGATAATAGTTAAGTCTCTCCTACACCTGTGGAGCCACTCTGGGTGCTTATCTTGAGAAGTAACTTGGCTTCTGGTGAAGGGACTTACAAGAACCAGGCAACTACTAAAATGTGTTCACACTATTTCAGCTCTCCATTTGTTTTTTCCATCAGGATCTTTGGATTCATTTTTGGTTCATGCACAGTGTAGGAGTCAGTCAGATATGACAATGTCTTTACTGTCATTTCCTTCACAATTCTGTAGGTGTTGTTCACTTATTTCTGGCTTGTAGTATTACCCTGAGAGGAAGCCTAAGACCATCTTCATTTTTCTTTTCTTTTAGTTTCTATGTTCATAAAACTTTGCCCTTTATCTCTTATGATTAAGTATTTCTAATTAAGTCTTTTTGCTTTATGATTTTACCCATAATTTTATGAGTTTTTAATTTTTTCAATTAAGAAAGAGAAATTCTTGATAGAGTACATGTTCATGCATGCAAGATAGGGGGACACCCTCTTGGGGTTGGTCTTATCTGATTTCCTTCCCTGATCCTCTAACCTGCTAGGATCCTGGGCATGTGCCTTTGGTGTGTTTTAAGGCCAACCAGACCAGAGACTTGAACTGTGGTTAGCATGTGGCTTCCAGATTTGTAGTCTGGTATGTTACCTATTGTGCCATCGAGGCTGGACCTGCTGAGGTGATTGAATGGTGTCTTGGTCTGTTTAGAAGTTTTCTTCAGTTATGGCTTATGTTTTATTTGTGCATTAGTTTCTTCTCCCTCAACTTAGAATCATTTGTAATGTTCAGATGGGAATCTCTGTTCTTGGCCTTCTATGTCTTTGTTTCTATTCTTTTTTTAAAAAATCTCCTTCATAGTTCCTTCTTTATATCATTGACTCAATGTTTTTTATATTGCCAGTTCTCCTTCTTCAATATCTAATATATCTTCAGGCTACATTGCATTTCTAGTTTATTTTTAATCATTCCTACTGTTTCCTAGATCTTTTAATGTCAGGCTGCTCTCTCTTCATTATGCTCATTTTCCCTAATGGCTATTTTTTTTTTTCTAAATAAATGGTTGATTTTCTTATTATCCACTGATGATGCTTAGGTAGTAAAATTTCTTTTGACAATTTTAATTTAGCTCTTTCACACAGATTTTAGCATAACTAGTTTCCTATTCTCTGGTTATTGTTATTGTGTTTTTTTTTCTTATTAAACCCTAAAATACTTATTGAGCATCTACTATATATTACAGGCTCTATATTACAGGTTTTTGCAAGAGAGCGCATGCACTCACCCTCAGAGAGAGACAGAGAGGGGGTAAGTAAGAAATCACCCCCCATTTCCTCCTGGGATTTCAGACACGCACACATATGCACCTGAAATGATTTTTAAGCCGCCAGGTCCAGGACTCGCACCACGGTTGACCATGTAGGAGTCCAGTGGCTTAACCACTACATCTCCTGCTGGCTCCTCCAGGCTCTATTCTATACACTTGGAGTATGACTGTCAAAAAGATTGACCCAAGTCTCTAACCTCATCATGGCTTTATCTCAGTGGAGAGCTAGAACATAAATAAATGCATCTTCTTAATTTTTCTGTTTATTTTTTAAAAAGTGTATTTTCTTATTTTATGAGAGTAAGAAAGAGAGGGAGACTGTCACTCTCCAACAGGGTCTTTTTTTTTTTTTTTTTTGAGAGGTTTTTGCTATAGGGCGCGTGCGCTCGACAGACAGAGACAGACAGAGAGACAGAAAGCGAGAAATCACCCCCCAGGGGGGATGGCCATGCCGCAATCCTTCTCCTCCGTTCTCCTCTCAGGATCTTGGGCACTCATGCACATGCGCCCGGCGTGAGTTTAAGCCACCAGGTCCAGGACTGGAACCACGGTCAACTACGTAGGAGTCCAGCGACATAGCCATTACGCTAACTGGTGGTCCCATCCCCAACAGGGTCTTTATGCCATGATTCCACTCATGCTCAGCCAGTCTGGCCACAGGAATGCAAGTGTGTGCTTGCTGTGTACAGGGAGAGCTCTGGACATGAACCTGAGACCTTCACATATGGGTCAGTTTGCATTACGGCTGCTCCACTCTCTGGTCTAAATTTATCTATTTTATACAATGACAGCTGTTCAGAAAAATTAACAATGGCGAAGGGATAGATAGTACCCATAAAGGCAGCACATTGTTTCCAGAGAAGGTGTGTGTTTACTTTTCCTGTTAATTGTATGGCTCTAACAGGTGCTTGTCAAATCTGCTGTTATTTTAGCTCGAAGGCAAGCTTTTCAACCTAATTTCTAAAATCCAAGAAGGTTTTGTTCTGTCTAAGTCTGCTTGGTGTAAATAGGACCTTCCATTATCCCTACTCCTTGGCTTGAGATTATGAGAGAATTCCAGAATTCCCAGGGTGAACATCTGGATCAGTGTTTTTCTGTCTGTACCTACTAGTTTATGTAGTTCTGTGTTTGTCTTTTTTTTTTTTTACTTCTTCTCAGTGGTTTTCTGGGAGTTGTAGCCTCTAATTCAGGTTAGAAAGTTACTAGTGGGGAGGATTGAGACATGTTTCCTGGTTGGGGTAGACAGTGAGGAGACTTTTTCTTCAGAAATGCTTTCAGGCAGTTAGACTTGCTGATCGTTCATTGATTACCAAATGAATTTCCTTAGTTCAGTTCTACAAACTTTGTAGTTAGTGAAAGTGCTTCTTGTTTTTTTGGGAGGAGGAATGTCTATTCTGAATCAACATTTCGTGATTCATTTCTTGTATGTTTTCTTAGGTATTTATTTTTAATTCTTTATTTTGAAGATTTCACACTCTTACAGAAGAAGACAGAATAAGCATAATGAATCCCATATGCTCATCTTCCAGTTTCAATCACTTCAAGTCACGGTTGAGCTTGTTTCATCTGCATTTTTTACCCACTTTTTTGACATATGATGTATATGCAGAAAAGTGCACAAATACATAAACAGAGTGCATCCTCATGTATTAATGTGACATGAAATTTAGATATTAGAAAACATTTTCCCCATAAATGTTTTAGTATGTTTCTCTAAATAAGGATTCTTAAAGGAAAAAAAAATCATCTTACTAAAAAAACCCAAATTTTCATACCATAAAATATCTACTGAGTATTCATATTTCTTTTTTTTTTCTTTTTTAGAGGTTTTTGCTATAGGGCACATGTACTCACTGGAGAGACAGAGAGACAGAAAGTGAGAAATCACCCTCTGCGGGCGATGACTGTGCCGCAATCCCTTCTCCATTCTCCTCTCGGTATTTTGGGCATGCATGCATGTGTACCCAGTGTGAGTTTCAAACCTCTGGGTCCAGAACTCGAACCATGGTTGGCCACATGGGAGTCCAGCATGTTAACCACTATGGCATCTGCTGACCCTTCAAATTTTTAATTGTATCAGTTTGAATCAGGAGCCAAGTCAGTTCACATATTAGTATTGATTATTATGTCTTTACATGTGTTTTCACAGCTAGACTTTCCCTCTATGTGTCATTCTTTTCTTTTCCTCCTGCCAGTGTATTTGCTGAAACAACTAAGTGGCAGAGTTTTCCCACAATACAGATTTTGTTCTTTGTATCCCCCATGTGGTGTTAGCCTGTTCTTTGTCCTTTATATTTTCTGTGCATTAGTTATTGAATCTTAGGGCATTCAGATATTTTAGTGAGATACTGGGAAAATTTGTTTCAGTTGCTGGAAGCAAATTCAGCCTCTTGTCCCAAATCAAAATCCTCTCGATAATACCTTTATCCGAGTTTTATGTAGACTTTGCTTGAACTCTTGTAGAGGAGAATTCTCTTCTTTACACAAGACTTTAGTTACAGACAGACCCTTTCAAGTTCAAGCTTTAGAGTCATATCAGCCTCAGTGTAGTTTCAGAATTTTGTTTTGATTCACAGTAGCCAGCTAGTATTAAGGCGTATCACAGAGATGAACTTGCAGACAGTAACTGTTTATCCTGAAATCTTGGGATATTCTTTCATTAAACTAAACTCAAAGCTGGAAAGAGGAGTGGGAAATTTTTTGTTTCAAAGTGAAACTCTTAACTTGGTGGCTAAGGGAGCTGGATCTGACATGGCTGACTGCACAGTTTGAATCCTGGCCCTGGGTGTTTGAAGAAAACACTGGCTATATGTGTGTGCATGCCCCAGATCTTGCCAATTATCTAAAATGTAATCATATATCTAATCATACAGTCGTGTATCTGTTCTTGATTATGAAAGCTGTACAAAATGTTCCTAACCTATAGCAAATGTTATACTTTGCTGCTCACAGAGGGGTTCTCTGACCAGCAGCAGTGGACATCACTGGGGAGACTTGTAGAGATGCAGAATCTCAGGTCACACTACACACACGCAGAACCAGAATTTGCATTTTAATAAGAACGATTCTTGATTTAAATGCACATGGAACTTGGAGAAGCACTATCAGCTTCAGTTGGTATATGGTGGACTGGAATTTTGAACTGCCAACATGTTCACAGATGATGCTGTTGCAGGTCTGCGAACTGCACTTACAAGGTGCTACAGTATTTGATTACAGTGAGGAAGGCAGTTACTTACATGAACTCTCAGGAGTTAATGTAAGGAATGTGACAGGAACACAAAACCAGCAGGTAGACCTGAGTTAGCTTGGAGCTTATTAAGTTCGATGTCAGTATGTTGTAATGTTGTACTTATTCCTGTGTACAGTTTTTAAAAGTATGTATGTGTGGACCTGCATTAATTTATATATATGTGTGTGTGTGTGTGTGTGTGTGTATGTGTGTTTTTGGAGAGTTTTTTTTTTAATTGGAATTTTATGAAAAAATTCATTTAGTATTGAGGGAACCAGCAGTTAGCGTAATGGCTATGTCTCTGGACTCCCAAGTAGTCGACCGTGGTTCGCATCCTGGACCCGGTGGCTTAAAACTCATGCCGGGCGCGTGTGCGTGTGTACCCAAGATCTTAGAAGGAGAATGGAGGAGAAGGGATTGCGGCATGACCATCCCCCCTGGGGGGTGATTTCTCGCTTTCTGTCTCTGTCTGTGTGGTGAGCGCACGCGCCCTATAGCAAAAACCTCTCCAAAAAAAGAAAAAAAAATTCATCTAATATTTAAAAAATAGTTATTGAATACATGATTTTTTAAAAATCACAAAATGTAGCATCAATTCTCCTTTTTATAAACTAAATAGGTCTAAAGTATGAGAAAATGTTCCTAAGTAGATGGTAATATAAAGCATTTTTTGCCTCTCAATTTAAAAAATTTCTACCAAGTTGTAAGGGTACATGTGCTCTCCAGAAAGACAGAGACAGAGAGACAGAAAGCAAGAAATCACCTCCCAGGGAGGATGGCCACGCCACAATCCCTACTCCATTCTCCTCTTGGGTTCTTGGGCATGCATGCACACATGCTTGGCGTGAGTTTAAGCCACCAGGTCTGGGTCTCGAACCATGGTCAACTACATGGGAGTCCAGCGACATAGCCATTATGCTAACTGGTGGTCCCTATCTATATTTTATATATATATGCTAGCAGCTGGCATAGAGGTTAAGGTACTGAAGATGCCCATCCGTGGTTTAAGTCCTGGACCTGGTGGTTTGCTTTCTCATTTTTCTCTCTTTCTCTCTGGTCAGTATACATGCCCTGTAGCAAATTAAAAAAAAATAATAGTGATAAATAAAATTAAATAAATATTAGGAAAATATATATTCAGTAAAACTTCATCTTAAAACTTTTGACATTTTTCAAGAAGTTCACGTGTATGCACAATTTCCAGATATGCATAACAATAAATTATCAGGCTGGCCCTGTAGCTTGGTGGTTAAGGGAGCTGGATTGCACCTGACCTAGTTCAAATCCTGGCCTTGGGTGGTTTGAAAAAAACACCAGATGCATGTGTGTGCATGCCCCAAATCCTGACAGGATGGAGAAGAGGAGGAGATAAGTGTTGAGTCTTTTAAAATATCTTATTTTCTGAAGAGAAAGATGTGTGTGTGAGAACTGAATGTCTTACTATTAAATATTATACCTTTCCTTTGTAATTTTGGATTCTGATATCAGAATGCTATTTTCTTCTGCTGTTTTCCTATAATTTTCATTTTGAACATCACAATCATTTCTACTGTTCAGAATTAAGACCAAGGGCAGAAGTTTTCTCTCATTGCCTATTTCTCTAATTAGATGTGAAATTGGCAGTAAGGTTGGTTAATGAGCAATTTCAATTTGACATTTGGTTTTATATATGTTGTGATATGCACACTTTGATTTCAGTTCTTAATTTCAACTTCTCGAAACCTTTTCTTCCCTGACAGTTGAAAACAATCCTCGAACAGGAAATCTTGGTGCACTAATCAAGGTCTTCCTTTCTAGAACCAAAGAACTAAAACTTTCAGCAGAATGTCAGAAGTAAGTTGGCTGATTAAATCATGTTCTCTTTATATTTAACAACATGAATAGCATTTTTAATTTATTGCTGGAAATAGACCATGATCTTTTGAAAATTCTGGTAAAGGAATTGTTCTCATTATTAAGGGGAAAAGGTAAAAGAGAGATTTTAGTTTAGTGTCTAAGTCTTTAGAATAAAATGATAAATTCTGGAATCTGTTCATTTATGATTTTAGATAGTCTGAAGAAATATATTCTTTATATTTTAAAAACATTAATAGTGAAGTAATTATTATTTAGAGTGGCAATTATTCTCCCATTGTCTGTTGATCATATTTAGTTGCAATAATGACTCAGTTTGAGTATTACTTCATTCCACATCCGTTGCCTTTATTTCCTTCATATGAGATTCTGTGCTAACTATTTTTTTCTTTTGAGAGATTTTTGCTATAGAGTGTGTGTGCTTGCCAGTAAGACACAGAGACAGAAAGTAAGGAATCACCCCCCAGGACAGATGACTATGCCACAGTCCCTTTTCCTCCATTCTCCTCTCAGGATTTTGGGCATGAACGCATGTGCACATGGCGTGAGTTTTAAGCTGCTGAGCATGGGACTCGAACCACAGTTGACTATGTAGGAGTCCAACAATGTAACCATTTTGGCATCTGCTGGTCCCAAGGTTAACTTTTTATATTCTCAAACTTTTTTTTTTTTTTTTTAGATTTTTGCCATAGGGCATGTATACTCACTAGAAAGAGACAAATAGAAGGAAAGTAAAACATTACTCCCCAGGGGGGATGGCCACATGTAATCCCTTCTTTCCATTTTCCTCTTGGGATTTTGGGCATGCATGCACACACACTTGATGTGATTTTTAGACTGCCAGGCCCAGGACTTGAACCATGGTTGGTCATGTAAGAGTCCAGTGTCTTAATCATCATGTCACCTGCTGGCCCTGCACACAAGCCTTTTTAGATGGACTCGATGCCGCAGTCCTCCAACCTCCATAGGTTTTTGCCATAGGGTGGGCACCACCACACCCGCAAGCCTTTTGAAATACCATTTGTGGATGGCAGTCTCTTAAAAGATTGTTCATTTTCCTACTTCTAAACAAATTATATTGAATCCAGTTACGTTTTTATTGTGAGTTCATGGTCATTAATACAAATAACAAATATTGTGCTATATTGTTGGCAGTGTCTATTAGAAATTTTGGGTACATATTTACATATGTTCTCTTTATTTATTAACTTTTTTTAGCTTTCTTTTCTTTTAATTGCCCTTGTGTGGAACAAATATAAGGTTAAGAACAATGATCAGTCATGCTCCCAAGCATCAATATGGATTTTTATTAAGTAGACTCACTATGTAAAACACACAGAATGAAATATGAGCTAAATGTAGTAGACATCATTGGTCCAATGTAGTAAGTCATGAGCCATTAAAAGATATTGATGTTTTACTAGTACAGTTAGGACAGGCAGAATGGCCGATAAATCATGAAGAAATCATGGGCTAGAAATAACTGATTGTGCTCATAATTAAATATTGATTCTTATGTGATTTCGGTCTTTCCTTTCTAGCCACATCTTCATTTGGCAGACGAACAATGCTTTATTTATTATTTGCTGTTTGCTGAAAGTGTTCATCTGTGAGATGTCAGAGGAGGAATTACTAGCTCACTTTACTTATGAAGAAAAATCTCCTGGCAGTTACTGTAAGTATTGCCTTTGAAGATGTTCTGGGTACAACATTTGTAACATGAGGATGAAATTTGAAGAATAAAAGGATAGTTTTGAATATTCACTTTTCCTCTCATAATTTTCCATTTTAAATGACCTGACACTGTCACTTTCTTTATCTATAGTAATTTAAATAAGCCAAGACTCTGAAAGGCTTTTTCTTTTTCTTTTTCTTTTCTTTTCTCTTTTCTTTTCTTTTTCTCTTCTCTTCTCTTCTCTTCTCTTCTCTTCTCTTCTCTTCTCTTCTCTTCTTTTCCTTTTTCTTTTTTTTTCTTTTCTTTTCTTCTCTTTTTCTTTCTTTTTTTTTTTTTTTTTTTTCTCTCTTTTTTTTTTTTTTTTTTTTTTTTTTTTCTGTAGGCTGTGTACACTTGCCAGGAAGAGACAGAGAGAGAAAGTGAGAAAAGTGAGAAATCCCCCCCCAGGGGGATGGCCACACCATAATCCCTTCTCTTCTCAGGATTGTGGGCATACACGCACATGCACCTATCATGTTTCTCAAGCCACTGAGTCCTGGACTCGAATCATGCCGTCAGCCGTGTGGAATCCAGCTGCCGTAACCACTGCACCACCTGGATGGTCCTCTTTTCTTTTTTAATATAAAAACTAGCAGGATTGAGGCTTCTATTTATTTTGATTTTTATGCAGAAAAGAAGAAAAACAAAAATACAACTCTAAAGGGGCAGGTCCCAGGACCAGCAGTTAGCGTAATGGCTGTGTCGCTGGACTCCCACGTAGTCCACTGCGGTTCGAGTCCCGGACCCAGTGGCTTAAACTCACGCTGGGCGCGTGTTCGTGCGTGCCCAAGATCCCAAGAGGAGAATGAAGGAGAAGGGATTGTGGCCTGGTCATCGTGATTTCTTGCTTTCTATCTCTCTGTCTCTCTCTGTCTGTCTGGCGAGCACACGCACCCTATAGCAAAAACCTCTCCAAAAATAAAAGGTGGGGGGTAGGTCCCATACCACATAGGGTAAGTGAGCCAGATCCCATATGATTGACCACAGTTTGAATCCTGGTCCCAGAGGTTTAAAAATACATTGAGTGCATTAGTGAGCATGCCCAAAATTCTAATAGGAAGGGTGGGAGTGCAGGATAAAGGGTTGCAGCATGACCATGCCTCATTGGGGCGTGCTTTCTCTCAGGTGAGGGCTGGGAGTGCACATATCCTCTGCCAATTAAAAAAACTCTGAAGTATTTATTCTTTTCAGAAAACACAGGTGTCATTTTGAGTTTCTTTACCAAGGCAATATACAAGTAAGGGAGACAACTAATCAGAAGTCCAGATTGTTTGTTAAAGGCTGCTTTCATAGGACCTCATCACAGTCCCTGAATCTGGGTGTCTGGGAACTGTAAAGAATTATCACTTCCTTTTCTTTTCTTTTTTTTTTTTTTTTGTCATAAGGCATGTGCACTCACCAGAGACAGTGAGAGGGAAAGTAAGAAATCGCCCCCGAAGGGAGGATGGCCACCCTGCAATCCATTCTGCCCCTGAGACTTTGGGCATGCATGCACATACGGGTGACGAGATTTTTTAGGCTACCAGGTCCAGAACTCCAACCAGAGTTGGCCATGTGGGAGTCCAGCACCTTAGCAACTATGCCACCTGCTGGCTGCTAGAATCGTCACTTTCAAGGACAGTTATTTTTAATAATCATTTATTTAATGTTATTTATTTATTATTATCCTTCAGTTTGGCCAGAGAGAGAGAGGGAGAGAGAGGGAGAGTGAAAAATTAGCCTGCCAGGTTTAGGACTTGAACCATGGTCATGTGGGAGTCCAGTGCCTTAACTACCATCCCACCTACCAGCCCCTCAAGGACAGTTCTAGGATGCTGAGTATGTCTTTTCTCTTTCTGCTGATAGAGGGAAAGGTTACTTTTTTCTCCTAATATAGTTGAGCTTTTAATTTAATTTTTATTTCTTAATTTTATTTATTCATTTGCTTATTTTAATTTGACCAAAGAGAGACAGAGAGAGAGAAAAAGAGAGGAAGAGCGAGAAAGCAAGTCACCAGGTCTGGGACTTGAACCATAATCCGCCATGTGGGAGTGTCCAGTGCCTTAACCACCATACCATCTGCTGGTCCCTGTTTTATTTTGGTTTGGTTTTGTTTTTAATTGGACAGTAGGTAGATTTGCTTGCCAAAGAGAGACAAGAGAGCTGCAAAGAGGGAGAGAGAAAGCTCTCCCTAATGGGGCATGGTTATGCTGTGATCCCTTCCCCTACATTTTTCCACCCTGTCCAGACTTTGGACACACATGCGCATGTGTCTAGGGTGCTTCTCAAGTGGCTGAGGCTGGTGTTCAAACCATGCTGTTGGCCATGTGGAATCTAGCTCCCTTGAGCTATGGTCATGGGGCCATGCCATGGATTTTTTTTCCCCTAGTGGTTAGGAGGGCCTGTAGCTTTTTAGATCGAATGCTGGTATTTTCTTGGCTTTAAAATATACAACGTGGAGATAAGATGGCAGCATAGGATTATTACAAAGGAGATATGGAGGAGGTATGTTTTGCATCTGCCCTTTGTGCTGACTTACCTTTCTGAGGGCAAAGGTATTGCTCCTCAGTTTTCTGAATTCTGTTTCTGGAGCACCTCTCTGCTCTCATCAGGCTGACAGGGATCACATGTGTGATTGAAGGGAAAATGTTGAGTTCCTGGTATTGGGAGAACTTAGCAGTGTTTCCATTTTAATTGAGGCCTGTGTGCTATTTGGGTTTCGTGAAATTACAGTCTTGCCTGGCTTAACAACAGAGACATGTTAATGAGTCAGGAGGTGATTTTGTCACTGTGTGAACATCAAGAGTGTACATACACAAACCTAGGTAGTATGCCTGTTACATACCAAGCTACCTGGTGTAATCTCATGGGACTGCTCTTGTGTATGTGGTCTGTTGTTAACTGAAGCATCCTTATGCAGCACAAGATTATATAATTGTATGCAGTCTTGTAAATAAAGTAGTAATTCCCTTTCCACTATCGCTAATACTCATTTTTTTTTTTTTTTTGCTTTTTTTAAAAAAAAAAGACTCCTTGCTAGAGGGCACATGTGTTCTCCAGGGAATTTTTTTTTAGAAAGTGAGAGAGTACTTCCCATGGGGAATGGCCATGCTGCAATCCCTTCTCCATTTTTTCCCTCTTGTTGGGATTTTGGACACACATGCACATGTGGCTAATGTGTTTTTCAAGTCACCAGGTCTGGGACTTGAACTATGTAGTCAACCATGTGGAATTCAGTGCCTTAACTACCATGCTACCTACTACTTCATGGCCTCCCTGTAAATTATTTCTTAATTCTAGAATTTTTTAAAACAATGTTGTGGGGAAGTAGAAAAGACTGTAGAAGGTTAATCTTTTATGAACTCAAACTTTTTTTTTTTTTTTGGAGAGGTTTTTGCTATAGGGCATGTGCACTCTCTAGAAAGACAAAGAGACAGAAAGTGAGAGATCATCTCCCACGGTGGGATGGGCATGCCACAATTATTGTAGTCCCTTTATTCTTTTTCATGGCCAGTGTATTTCCAAATTAGAAAAAGTCACCTCTCTCTTTATGTGTGTATGAGTATATATTTATATGTGTGTATATATATATATATATATTTATACACATATAAATATATAAACACACACACACATATATATATATATGCACACATACATACATACATATATGCACTTTTTTTCATTTAACTTTATTATTATTTTATTTGACTGGGCATGTGGTATGGTGGTTAAGGCACTGGACTCCTATATGCACAGTTTGAGTCCTGGACCTGGCAGCTTGCTTTCTCATTTTCCCTCTTTCTTTCTCTTGTGACCACTTGTGCCCTATAGCAAATTAAAAATAGTAATAATAATAACAGTAATAAATGAAATGATTCTTTAATAAAAGTATAGTGGAGTTGAAAGGTGTTATCTAAAATAACACCTTTTTAGTGCATTGATGGGCTTCCAGAAAACAAAGGAAATCTCCCAGGACCCAAGCCCCATAACCAAATAAAAGAACCACAAGCAAATAAGCTGTCTTGAATCCAGAGTGAAACACTGCCCAGTGGGCAAACGCAACACAGATATTGCTGAATGGGAAAACAATGGAAGTGTATGATGCAGTAACTGAAGGCAATATGTTTATCAGCTGTTGTATGGATGTCCGAATTAGGTGTGTTTAGGGATAGACAATAGGGCTATTTGGAGAGAGAGGATATACAGTAGTCCATGTTGTTTGAAGGTTGAATATAGAAAAGTAGAGAAGCATCTGCAGACAACTGAGTAGATTCAGCTGAGGCATCTTACAGCATACAGCATTTTCTTCCGTATTCCAGTCCATCGTAATACTGCTGTGATCATATGGATATTGCTGGCGTTTTCAGTGAAGCAGTCTTGATGAGAGGAATGCCACTGTCAGTAAGCTCTCGGTGTGCAACCTAAATTCACGAGGGTTTTGTATTTGAACATTTTCCCGTAGGCTGGGTATGACGTGGTAGCCGATTGTGTGAGAGACTTTGTATCATGAGGATCGCTCTTCTCACTGTTCCATCTCTGAGAGTTAGTCAGAGGGGATAAAGGCAGCCTTCGGTAAAACCACGCAGTGCTACAAAATCGTTTTCCATTTTCCTGTTGTCTGCAATGTGAGTTTTCCTTTCCTCTCTCTTGGTGTGGTGCCCCATTCTAGCCAAGGCAGTACTGATATTTATTTTACATTTTGTGTCTCATAACTCCACTATTTTAGGTTCTTAGGAGGCTGATTCTGTCAAACATTTTTGATGGCTTGTTTCCTTGTGTAGTTGATAGTGGTTGTGTTTGACCTTAATTGGAGGCCCCGATTAGGGAGAGATTGGCATTTCCTTTGACGGGACCCAAGGCTCATACCTGCTGATGCATGTGGTTAGCCCCCTCAGTGTTCTTAGCTCAAGGCAGGGTCCGAGCTTCAGGTTTCCTTGGTTGCCCGTGCATGGAGGCTGAGTCTCCCACCTGCCGGCTGT